GTCAAGTAATCATTTGGTTTTTTAAAATTACTATCAATGACAAATCACCGCATACGCCTCAGTTTTTAAATAAGTTTGATGTCCAGTAACGTTTTTTCTATTTCTTAATTTGGATGAAACAATAATTAAGTAGAATCAAAGATACCAACTCGTCCTCGCTGTCGGCCATCTCGTGAACACTGGCGGCGAAAGCAGAGCACAGAGTTTTGACGAGCATGTTACGCCGATTATAAAACACAGCGTATCATGCTCTATGCGTAACACGCTCAATGCGAATGCTACATTACACATCGTAACTTTGGTCAGTTCCCACCTTAAGAGGAGGCGTCCTAATAGGTTATTCAACTTTGCTTAGTTACACCGTACTTAAGATATACGTATATAACCGTTTATAGTATATAGAAATTCAGCAATAGCAAATTCAAATTCAAAACTCATTTAATCATGTTGGTAACACATTGTGCACCTATGATCGTCAAAAAAAATGTATATGAAACGCTTCTAACTTTACATTTAGGGCCAGTTCTCAAATCACGGGCGTAGAACGGAAGAGAAGAACTGGTAATAAACTCTCCGCCACTCTTTTTAATTGCCATGTTTTTTTTTACACAACGTTTGTAAGGAGCTGCAACCATTACACCATGTTCCACGTGACATCTTAAGTAATTAATAAAAATATGTAACATAAATTAAAAACAAAGACTTGTCCTCTATCATGCATGGTGAAATAGGAGCACGCACTTACATTCTCGTAGGAACATGACTCAATATTCTCGATATTCGCATATTTTCGAATTAACTTCGAGGTATTGTATAATTGCGTGTAAGAGTTTCTTTAAACTAAATTATTGATTGTCTAGCTGGGAGAATCCTCCCAGACAATGTGCAAATAACTGCTCTCATGAGAATAAAGGGGTTCCAAAATAACACAGACGTCAAGATGTCTGGTCTTTTAGAATGCGGTGAGACGTATGCTTTGAATAATAAATATTAAGCTATCTTTGTTTAGGCGAGAATATATAATTTTATTAGTCTTGAACTAGCACGCTTTTACCAGAAAAGGTTAGGACAAATCTAATACTAGAACGCCGTTATGAGACTTATAAAATGTTATGAACTCCAGAATCTAGCTAGATAAATACTAAAACTATGGAGAAAAATTAACTAACTCAATGATGATGGGAATTATTTTATACTAGCGTCCGTCTACAGCTTCCCGCTCCTGGATTTAGTATGATTACGATGTTTTTAACTATAATTGTTATAACTTTATTTACATTATAGCTGAAGGAATACATTTATTTAGATTTTGTTAAATTTAATTTCCCTTCTTTTACTGAAAACCGTACAAAAATTCGTTCTGTAGTTATTGTTGTTAGTAAATAAACTTTTATTTTTGAATTCGGTCCAGTAGTTTTAGAGGCACAAACACTTAACACAAAAAAACTAATGTGGATTAGTTTTAAATCAGGGTACATTGTAATGTTCAATGTTGTCTCTGGGAAGAGACAATTAATTAATTAAAAAAATACTGATTTTTTATTAATGCATTGAAGCATTCAATTATTCTTTTGTTTTATTTTCTTCAGTACGGTTCGATATTGTATTTTGCAAAAAACACGATTAAACCTATCGTATTATGTTCAGTCTCATTGTTTCTTGAATTATATCTTTGTTATACATTTCGCTTCTTATTTTATTTCACAATACGACACTAGACTATTGTAACTAGATTTAATTAAAATATACCGAAAGATTTTCACGTATTAATCGTTCGTGATCGTCCCTTGAAAACTAAAACAAAAGGAAGTTCTAGAACTAGCCATCATTTGTCATCTTTAAAAATAATTTTGATGAGGCGCAATTTATTTCCCAGCTCTGAACATTCGTGTAATGTTTAGAATTATTGACTGTACCGAGTAACTTGTATTTAACATGCAATTTGAATTTACTCACCACGCTATCGCAAGGACGTTATTACATTAATAATACTTTATTTAACGTCAGCATTGAATATTTTAACATGTTCATGTCGAAGATGCCATGCGCGGATTTCGTCCTGTCGGCACATCTATTTTTAGAACGCTCAGAATGTGGTTTCACCGTTGTAACGAAAGTTATTCATATTATATTAGACGGGGAGCAAAAGGTTCAGCTTTGGAGGCTGTGTTAATAAAGGCCATGAATTAGTAATTATAATTACGTTTACCTCTTATGTATTTAGTTTTCACAAGCTTTTTAAATAATTAACTGAACATGGATTTAGTTTATAATCCTAAATAGTATCCCATTGTTTGTTTGTAGTCGCCTAAATTTTTACGACACTATTATGTTTTTGTTTATAGAAGATCCATTAGAAGACTGGCCTTACGTTACCAACTCGAATAAAAATAAATAGTTAAGTATATTAATAAAGGTAATTCAGGGATTAAATCCCCTTATATATCGGATATGCCATCTACGTTATCAACTACCCAATAAGGAAATCGGCACTTATCACAAGGTAAGTGCCGATAATGGAGGTGCGCGGCAAAAACTGCCTTGAAAAACGCAGCACTGAGCAAAACCTGAGGGCTCCTCTGAGGAGCCACTATAACGGTTAATATTATTTTAGGTCTACCTTATTTAAAGAAAATGGATCTTCTTCCTATACGACCGCTCTGTCAAGAGTGCACCGGTGCACTCTTGACAGAGCGGTCGTGATCGCTAGGAAGTAGTTGTAGGGGCAGATGTGATGCGCTTCCCGCGACGTTTTGCCATCGTTGCAAGAAAGAAAATGGATATTGTAGTCAAAATTCTGAGTTGGATTGGATAATCTTTGTAAGGTACAGACAGGCCTCCACCTCCTGAACGTGTCAAAAGGACACCCTTTGGTGCTGCTGACTTGTACTTAGTCATTCCTATATTTTTTTAGAAACCAATAAACTTCTATCAGAGTACACATTTCAATAATACGATTGCCGGAAAACATTCGAAACATTGTGTTTAATCATTATTTGAACATAATGTGAGTGTCAAATTCATCCAATAAATTAAGTATTTACACAACCATTGAAATCCGTGTTGGTTTACAAAATAGCGAAGCAGAATAAAATATATAGGTGAATATTTTAATATATTGTTCGTTGAAAGTTTGTTTACCGCTAAGTCTATGGAAACTTAGTTCACATTTCTATAAGAAGCAAAAGTGCATTTACCAGTTAAGTTTGAATCAAAAGAGCTTCCAAGTCGAGGTTGAAAGTAGTTTCATTTCTTCATTTTCATGTAACTCTAGTCTTATTCAGAAATACAATATAAATCCTTCTAATATTTATAAATTTTGTACAGAGTTTAAAAAGGGTTTACATAACATATTTGTGAAAATTTGACGCAAAATGAAAGAATTTTTTTATAATAAGTATAATACGAGCGCAAAAGCAAGCTAATGCAGCCCATGCGGGTGCGTTGCCGGCCTTTTAGGGATGAGAAGGCTCTTTTTTACACAACTACTGTGTTACAATCTTAAGGATTATTTATACAGTATAAATAATAACTATGGTTACCAACGATTATAAGGTATACATATTACACAGATACGTAGCTAACGAAAGCGTTCAAAACTGTGTGCCTGCTTTAACAAAATGGTTGATAATGTATAGCCGAGTCAAATAATAAAAAATCTACCTAAGACCAATTTTAATATGACCCATTGGTTTGAAATTAAATACTAAAGTATAGTCCTAGTTATAGAAACGTATAACGTGATAAACCGAAATAAAAGAATGCAAAAATGAGACTGAATATAATTCGATAGGTTTATTTTGTTTGTACTCCGCAAAATGCAATCTCGAACCGTATTGAAGAAAAAACAAAAGAAATACTTGAATGCTTTTCATACTGTATAAAAACTAACGAAGGTATTGAACATTACACTACTACATTACATCACAATTTTAAGACCTATCCAAAGTAGCTATGTGTTTGTAACGTAAACTACTGCCCTGCGATTCTGTAACTCACTTTTCGAACTCACACAGCGGTTTTCGCATCGGCGGTCGCTCTCAAATCAGTCGTGAAGCAGTAATTTTATGATTTGGCATTGTGATAAACAATAAACTACAAGCTCCCACCTTTTCAGAATGCCAAATCATAAAATGTCTGCTTCACGACTGATTTGAGAGCGACCGCCGATGCGAAAACCGCTGTGTGAGTTCGAAAAGTGAGTTACAGAATCGCAGGGCTGGACCGAATTAAAAAATCTTTTTCTATTAGAATGGTATAGATGTTACCGAAATATTTTTAAAATTAAATAGTTAAGCTTGTTCCTCGTACCACATGATATATCATCATAAAAGCTCGAGCTTTTATCCTAAATATATACGTACTTAAAACCACTGTAAACTATTTAATAAAAATACGTTATTCATAAATCATTACTTTCGTACGATTGTATAAACAAAACGGTATTCGTAAAATCGAAATCAAATACGAAATGTGAAAAATTCCCACGGTTATTACAATTTTTTATAACTACAACAGCTTAAATGTATTGAATAACTTTCAAGTGACGGGAAAACCGATACATAAATTTTTGGTGTGAAAATTCGTTTAACCTAGTTTTATTCAATTTATATAAAGTTTGCTACGTTATTTAAAATAGGAGGTTATTAGTTCTCATATGTTCACACTACACATGGCACTATTAAATCAATGACACTACAATCTTTGGTCTTGGCCTCAGATTTTGTTATCATTTTTGATGTTTTGGGTCCTATGGTATGCCGCTTTCCTCACGATGTTTTCCTTCTCCGTACGAATACGCACATAGAAAAAAGTCCATTGTATCATTTAACCTTAGAGATAAATAAGGTACACTTATTAACCATATAAAAAGCGGAACGGATTAGACAAGGCAAGTGACTCTGCACACACTCTTAATGACAATTTTTTTTTTTCAATCATTTTGAGGTGCTGTGAAAATTTATTGCTTTAAAATTATGATAAAATTCGGTCATCTTGATCTAAATGTGATTTGTGACCAAATATATTGCTTCTAACGCGTGATCGGACCAGAGAAGGTTGTCGGGGAAGTTGGAGAGGTTTCCACGGGCTTGAGGGCTTCGTCTAGCTTCTGAGCTTCTGTCAATCGACAATGGTTTTGGACCTCTTCTCTTGGATGTTATCCAAACTCGGTCCTCCTGGACCGAATTCAAAGTTAACCGTGACGAGACATCGTGTAGCACGCTCTACGCTACGCGTCTGCAGTGCTACGTTGCGTAGCATCGAAGACGTCGTTGAGAGAAGGCCGTTACAATTTTGTTTTATACCCTATAAAACAAAATTGTAATAATAAGTCTCAGAGGGCTGACCAATTGGAGTTGTTATAGTTCCCTTGTTTCGTGTAGAGATTCCTGACCAATGATCAATGGATGAGCGTTACGCGTTTCTCCGAGCGAAACCTAAGTGCAAGAACGCTGGGCTTGAAGCATGATCTTTGGAGGAATATGTCTGTCTGGTGGATAACTATGAGGGACCAGCTTCCCACTGAAGCATTTCCGAACTATTCGACTTAGGGTCCTCCAAGATATAAGGGTACCAATTCCTTAAAAAGCTCGCAACACACGTGCGAGCCGTCTGGCTGTGTAAGTGTCCATGGGCAGCAGGACATCAGGTCAGCCTCCTGCCCGAGTGCACCCTGTACTATAAAAAAAGTCATTTGTTACATCTTACTTCAGAAATGTCGTATATTCGAGAAAATTGGTTGAAATGTAGTAATGTAATGACTCTTCGGAAAGAGCCGGGCGTCGAGTCCCCCATTAGCATAGCAAGTTGAACATTTCCGACTAAATGTCGAGAGTCGACAAGGAGCCTTATTATGTCAATTATAAAGTATGCAATTTCGAATATCATAGAAAAAGACCGGAATATTTCATAACAAGTTCGCGCCAATTGAGAGTGTTAACATAGGAATATTTTAATAATCTTACCTGAATATGAATTAGTTCTGTGCCAACTTGATATTGCAGTATCAAGCTAACCGCAGTTACTGATAAGCACTTGGAACGCCAAGTTATTTAAATTTAATTTAATGCGTAAGTATTTAAGGCAATTTTATTTACTTAGAAAAATCATGTATAACATTATTATCATTATATAACCGTCAATGTGAGACCAGTAGACATAATAAATACGTGCTTGATACGTATAATGTGAATACATACTTGATCATTATTTTCCTCCATATTCGGGCTAAGAAAGGGGCTTGGCTTGGCCATTACCCATTCGTCAGCTGCGTGATGCTCATGCTCTCTCTTACATTTCATCGTTTTCAATCCTAAAACTCCTATTTCTTCTAGCTATAGCCTACGCTCTTTCAAAAATTGTTTCTTGAAGAATTATTAAGAGGCTTCAGAATCTGTAATTAACTTCCTGTCTCTTTCCGCCTAGTTCGTGGTTTTTGACTATCTATTAAAAAATATGTTTTAATTCAAACCAGTAATTCCTGAGATGCGTTCGTTTAAACAAACTATCCATTAATCTTAATTGTATAAAAAAAATAATTAAAATACCTTTCCTACCTACCTTAAATACCTAATTATAAATGTTTATGTTAATTTAATAATACATATTAAATATTATCGACTATCAGTCATGGATACTTATAACACAATAATTTAAGTTAAATATCTTTAAACTCTAATCTTTTGAATAAAATACAATATTGGTTCCATCGATAATACTGAATTCCAAATAGATTTCATTAATACAATACGAATTGTGAACGAAATTAAGAATGCATAGCGAGTTGAATTGTTTGAACTTTATTAATAATAAAGTAACTCGCTTGTACCACGATGAAAACTATCATAGGATTTGCTTACAAAATTTATTTATTCATTTAAAAATGAAGGCAATTGTTGCATAAACTAGAACAAATGTTAGGCTCAAAAATAGGTGTAGCAGGCGTGTACAAATACAATTTATTCACACTTCACTGCACAACATAAAAACTATTTACAAGATACAAAAAAAAAAATTCGTAGTCCAATGGGCGGCTTTACTGCTAATAAGTTATTTCTGCCACTTTATGCTTATGATACAATATTGTAAATAAAAACATAATGCACTTCCTAAACTCGGGGGCGATCGGAAAAAAATCCTGTATCATTATTTAAAGAATATTTTGTCACATAGATTTATTGTCAACACTAGAGTGATAAAGACAAAACATATAGGCTCTGTTGGCTAATTGTTTATGAATATATCGTAAATTCATAGTAACAGATCTAAACAAAACATATTAAAGTACATATATGTGCCTAGGTAACTGAAATTATATTTTTATTTTAAGCTAAATTATAAATAAATAGTAAATTTGATGTGGCACAATTGAATTTCTGTTTTATTAGTTAATCTTGGTCTTCTGAAAAGATTATATTCGCCAGGGATTGACCCTTATACCCATATATATTTGTATACAAATATATGTAAACCCGGGTATATGGGTTTGCACTACAAGTATGCCGCAAGAATAAAGGGTGAGATGAGATTATACTATACTTAATACAGTGACTACAAACCTTATCTGTGGACTCAAAGTATTAAATAATATAAGTATTTTACAGACCAATACAGCAATTAGAATATAAGATTAGTACACGAATATATTAATGATTTTAATATGAAATACACAAACGGGGTATTTTTTATGTAGGCTAACATTGTAATGAAAGCAATGACTATGGATTTTAGCAGGACTTTTTTATCTAAGTTTATATAGACGAAAAATAAACGAATCCGGTAATTATGATTAAACTAATCATTGCAAATATTCATTTAATTCGATAAGTTTAATGAAAACTCGTTCAAATTTACATTAACACACGATAAATACACAAACAAGTTTCCGTTAATTGAACAGATAATAATCAATGCCAACAGGGACTGTACACATAAAATAATTCGAAACAGGAACTATTAGGACGTACAATTTTTAAATCGTATAAAATTTTTAGTATGGGACTGTCTAGATTTTTGAAGTGAAACTTCTTTATCGGGGTTGGAAAAAAATTTAGTGTAACATTTTTTCGTTACGCGTCACATTTTTCGGTTACGCGCCATGTTACTTTTTGAAGTCAAACTTCTTTATCGGCGTTGGAATGAAACTTCTTTATCGACGTATGGGAGAAATTTTGTAGCAAATCGTCACGTTTTTCAATGATAGTAATAATTATATTACAATTAATGAAATTCTATAATAATCTTCGTAGTAATAAGGTAAAATGAAATATTTGTATTCATGTCTATGATAATAAAAGCCTTTTGTTAAACTTTATCTAATTTAACGAATTTCTGTAAAGTTGCATATAGTAGATCATTTTTCGAAAAATAAGATCATAAAGAAGTTTCACTTCTTACGTGTGTACACCTAGTACACGCACAATTTATTTTTTCATATATAGGCACTCCCTAATGAGGCCATGTAAAACGACACTGTTATTTAAAGGTGTTTTTTATAACAATGAACTAAATGCTAAAATAGGTTTTAATTATGGTAAGCTGGTGGAAAACACTGGTAGTACTGGGGACCGCAGAGCTGGCACTTTCCTCGCATAGTGTACAAACACGGAATATAAATTATAAATGTATTTTAGGTTTGATTATATAACATTTCTTCTCTATTTCAGAGCCTCCGGCGGGGGTGGCATGTTCGGAGATGTTAATATATCAGCAATTTTAGACTCTTTCAGTATAAGTTATGATAAAAGAGTAAGGCCAAATTATGGTGGTAAGTTATTGTTTAAATTTTGAATGCAATACCCACATATTCCCAACAGCAACTCAACTTCAAATAACAGGTCAAAACTTTCTTCGCACTATGCATCGTATACTTTATATACGAGCACTTGTCAATCATTAGTTATTTTAAATTTTCACCATTCGAGTTATATACAGTGAGATAAAAATCTTGTTTAGTCTATAATAAGACTGATTATTAATCTCTGATCAAAGGTACATTTAAATTCTCATGTAATATTAATATCATACATGTATACTAAACAAGCGTTATAATAGAAGGCTAAGGCCTAGTTCAATACCGTTACCGATCAGTATTAAGTTACTTAGTATTTCCAATTTTCGATACTTCTGATATTGGCATAACTATACTGTCGGATTCAATATAAGTTATAAGATTGAGAATGTTTTTCATATATTTGGTCTGCATGCTGTCAAAAAAGTATCGTAAATGAATGATTTCTTTATTTGATATGGCTAATATTCTTCAATCTAACTTTAATATTGATCATTTGCTTATGAAACTCTTTTAAATTTAATTTTACTCAAGAGCAAGCCCACCGGAAAGAACTCTTTAATACAATACCTATTTATGCTTCCATTAAGCTATCGTAATTGTTCATCATAACAACAATTCTCACTAGTTTCATTAACGATTATCATTGATTAATCCGCTCAATGTGATTAAATAATGATATAAGGGAATTATCGTTTGCGTATTTGAATTGTTAAAGCCGAGAGGCGCCGTACTCGCAATAAAGTTGAAGCTATAAATTGCAATTGTAGTTTTGATAACACGTTTCTTCGTTTTATACTACTAAAAGACTTTTATAATTACATTAGTAACCCTTCGAGTGGTTATTATTGTTTTTGTAACGATCCAATGTAATGTGTCAAGAAAAGAGAGTGTAAAAAGAGAGAGTAAAGAGAAAGAGAGAGAAGGTGTAAAGAGCCGTAACCTAAGAGAACTATCTATCATCAAGCAGATAAAAATGAACAATGTAAGAGAATAGAGACTTGGACGATAAATAGTAATTATTCCCCGGGTTCACCGGCCAAAACTAAAGCCTTAATAACCCTCTGATGAGACAACATAGAACACTTCAATGTACATTTATTTTTATTCGTATTTATTATTAGACGTTATGGTTAAATAATAAATGTTCGTGAAATAATTTGAAGCAAAGTACTTACCTTCGAATTTCACGCATCAAAAACTTCCACTTAAGCACCCTTCTTTTCGAACAAAAGATAAGCCGGCACTCTCCGAGATAAAAATGTATATCTCACGTCTCGTTATTTTTTGTTATTTAACACTACAAGAATTGTCAGAATACATTTAATTTTTACATTCTAATGTAGATTATTTGATTACTTAAACACCTTTTTCTTTTAAATATTAGTGCATTAACATTTTGACCGGCAGTTTTTATGAAGAATGAGAAGAAAGACAGAAGAAGAACAGAGACCCGAAACAGGTCTCATATTTAAGTGATAGAAATCTAGTGGATGTTTTAAAATATAAATTTAAAGGACTAGATCCTGATACAAAAGTATCATATATTATCGTTTTCAGGACCACCCGTGGAAGTGGGGGTTACCATGTACGTGCTCTCCATCAGCTCTCTGTCTGAAGTGAAAATGGTACCTTATTCAAAGAATATAGACATGCATTAGACAATCACCAGCATTGTTCATCGTAGCACCCGTGACCACGGTTCGATTGACGTCCTTTGGGAACCATTACGTTTCAGACCTTTGGTTTGGTTTTCACGGCTCGAGGCGCGAGCGGTACTCACAATTGGGCTTGATTGCAGGTCCGCCAGTGGAGGTTGGCGTCACCATGTATGTGCTGTCTATCAGCTCCGTCTCCGAAGTGCTCATGGTACTCCTAACTGTCAGCTCACGCTTGTCTCGGCCGCTTCGGCTCAGCGCCGAGCGACCGAGCAGCCCTAGACACGAGGCTGCGAGCATGTCTTCGTTTTGTCGAGCAGAATTCCCTGTCCACAGTTGCTTTCTTATCGGAGTTTGACAAACCACTATATTGTGTATCTGGAGCTTATGTCACTTTTTAATTGACAAATCCAAAAGCAAACTATACAAATACAAGAATTAGAAAGAAACAATTGGCATTAATATTTAATTTCAAAAGGAAGCAAGTTGATGATCTTAATTAATAACAACGTGCTAATAAATGAAAATATAAAATTCATTGCGTTTATAAATATTTCATAGTGGTTTGTCGGTTCTAGTCTCAAAATTGTTCAAAATTATACAAGGAACTCGAGATAAGAAAAGCAATCATGTATATTATAAAATGTCTGATGTGTTTATCAGTTCTCGTAACTCCAACAAATGCATTTCTCTCAAGCCCGGGTCATTAGACAATCTTTTATTAGTTAGGCCTCCAGGGTCTGTCGTATTTTCTTTATGCAATCATTACTCTGGCTCATGTTCATATTAGTAAACTGTTGGAGCTATGAACCAGCCTTGCACTGGGTGGACTTGCGACGACTGTACAATTTTATCTGTCCGTCATTTCGTAGTTCGTTGTGTTTGTGTCTGTGGTACCGTATCTACTGGAAATCTGCCAACGTAACCGTTACTTTTCACGCTCCTCAGTTAATTGGAACACCGGAATTTATGTGTATAGCTCTAGTTTATTTCGATCGCTTATTAATTTATGTTAGTAGCAAGCTAAGGAAATAAATATTTCCAATAAATACTGAAGTGGAAACCAAATCAAATACATAAGGTTACATTGAACGTGACTTTATAAAGGACTTAGTGCGGGATAACTTAATGTCAAAATTATATTCCCGTGCAAGCATTGGCCTTAGCTTCATTTAACTGCTTTATCGAGCCGTGGGTGCAGCTTGGCGAACACCCACCTACATACGTCGATGTGAACAGAAACCTCTTCATTTTGTAGACTTCACTTCGATACACTCTTGCGCCTAGCTTTTCCTCACTCTGCACATAAATATTGCGTATTTATGAACCATGCCATACCATACCTATTAAATTCTCACTCAAGTGCCGTTCATGAATACGAAATTAGAACAAAATAATTGTGATTAAAAGTTCCAGCTTGTTATGTAATAGTTTCATAACCACTATAATATTAATGTCACGGCATGCATTGTTAGATGTTTTTACGAGAAAACTCATTATATATGTAATGTAAAATCATACTTTCGTTGTATTTGATCTTTTCTTTTCCAGGACTTTACATTGGACTTTTATTTTCGACAATTTTGGACGGATCCACGACTAGCATATAAGAAACGAGCCGGGGTTGAGACACTATCAGTTGGGTCCGAATTTATTAAGAATATTTGGGTGCCCGACACATTTTTTGTTAATGAAAAGCAATCTTATTTTCATATAGCCACTACTAGTAACGAATTTATAAGGATACATTATTCAGGATCTATTACAAGAAGTATAAGGTACAGTTGATATTCCTAAATCCGGTATTCATTTAATAAGATTAATAAAATATATTTTTAACACTACGTTGCATGTACAGAAAGATAATAAAATTTACATAATTAAAAAAAAAATAGAGCAACTGGCGAGCGAGCTCTTTCAGGCAACCACTGGTTAATGTGTGAAATCTTTCTTTCGAACATGCATTTCTGAAAAGAATGAAATCTATACAAACTTTACGTAAAGAAAATTATTTAAACAATATTAAAGTTGTAAGCCATTATGCGGCAATTTTCATAATTACAGTTGATTTTAAATTTACAATTTTCATAGTTACAATTTAATATCCATTGATTTGTAACTAACTAATGTTATATAATATCTCTGTTAGGACTCAATAGTAATTTTGAGAGTAATTGTGTATTTTTTGGAGTTTACTCCTTAAGAAACGATTTGAGTTATAAGGCCCGGTACGGAAATTTTATGAGGAGTAAAATCAAGTGTAACACGAAAAGTTGAGGCGTTATGTGTAACACGAAAAGTTGAGGCGTTATGTAGAAAGAGACAAATGGATTGAACGTGTAAAAGAATGAGATGGAATACATTACACAGACTTTTCTATTTTGAATTCACGTTTTGACAGCCACTTTACAACATTGACAGTGTTGACAGGTGTAAAAAATAAAAGTAGATTATCTAGCGTGCCATAGAGTTTTGTCAATAGTAATGGTCAGTGAAATTAAAACTAAAAAGATTGTTCATTCTTATTCTTCTCTTACTATAAAGGTAACTTTGGTCACAGAAAGAAAATCCTATTTGGGCATAAATGATGTAGGTACGTTTTATTACTACTACAAACATTTATATTATAAAAACATATATTCTTACCACCTTTAGTATGAAAATATGGTCAACAGCCACAGAACATTATCGCCATTTTATCGTTCGTAAGGAGTAAACTCCAATCGTGCGTCGTAGCTGACACACACACACTTTTTTTATTTTCAAATCTAAAACCAAAACCATACAAATTCAGCAGATGTCTGTATTTTCGAATGTGACTCTTTCGTTAATAAGATAATACTAAATTAATTATTTATATACTTTGGTCATGTATTTTATATTTGACCTTCTCCGTGAAGAACGGTTATGCAAAGAAAAAATACGTCTTATCGTATAATACATTTAAATAAATATCTTGCATTTACTACGCGAAACCCAAAAACATATTGCGTTACCTTTACCTTTACGTTTTTTTTACCTTTATACCTCAAGAAATGCTGTTACGCATATCCTTGCGGCATTTTATTCAAAGTGGGATTATGCAAACTTAATTTACAACCCACTAAAATCTGACCGATGCCTTCAGCACGCCAATGCACGAAATCTAACTCAACTTGAAATTTTTTCGTAATTATAGAACAAATATATCATCTTCCAGATTAACCATTACAGCATCTTGCCCTATGAATCTTCAATATTTCCCAATGGACCGTCAATTATGTCACATTGAGATAGAGAGTTGTAAGTATCACAGAAATCCTATACCTCAATTAACACTTGTAAATTTACAATAGCAAAAAAAAAATTGTATTTATATCACCTAAAGTTTCACGCTTAATATAACACAAAAAACGGCATATAAAATTATTATTTAATTTTATTTTATATATTATTTTAATACGATACGATATCGTATTTGTTCATAGTGTTACGATGATAGAAAAATAAAGTTTTGATAGCGTGTTCACGATGACGCAGTCATTTCTTTAATTATTACCACCGTGCAATCTCTCACTGGGCTTCCCAATGTGTTGTGACCACTTTCTTATCACAGATGCTATTCAGGGATATGTGAGCACAAGCGTTACGTCGACACGTTTGACTCCCTCGTGTTGTCATGTTGGATGTCTCCTTCTCGCATACAGCACCCGCAGAAGGAAGACATTGTAAGCCTGTGTCTTCACGAGCATTATGCTAAACTGATTTTGAGACATCGCTGCAACCTGTGGGCCGAAGGAGGCGGGGTACGCGGCAGCAGAGTCTGCTCATCCCCCCGAGCCGGGTGCAGACGTACCGCACGCAACCAGTACCAACCACCATACCACGCGCAAACCTTCGCAAACCTACGCAAACTCAATGCATCCTTGCACATTCGCTTACTAGCACCTAGATTGTATTTTCAGCACTGCATGCCTTAGTCAATAGTTAATTTTTTTAAGTAATTTAGTTATCATATTTTTCTATCATCTTCAATGAGCCAACTCGAGGTGAATTTGACTCGAATCAGCTCAGCTATATCTTTACCCGCGAGTCCCATCAGTTGGCTACGAGTGGGAAGCGCGATGCTACGCAGCGTAAGTGATAGCGTTTTGTGTGTTTGGCATGTCTCCGGAGTCGGGTACACAATGAGAGACATTCGGTACCATTGGAAGGACGGCTTAGCAAGTGTCGGGATGAGTAACGAGGTGCAGTTACCTCAATTCCGGGTTCTGGGACATCGACAACGCGCTACAGTTGTAACTCTAACGACAGGTAACCAATAGACCGCATTATTAGCAACCTCCGCATTATCCATCCATGCTCCGCTATCGACCCCGTCTCCCTCCGCCCGTGTGCAAGCCGCGGCACGTGCACACATGTATACATGACACAATATTAGCATGAGAACGCGTAAAACTGACGCAAGTCCTCGGCTTTGACCCGACCGAAAGACGATTCGAGTCGGAACACCCACTGCAATGGGTCAGGGGTCATTCATTTATGTATCCGCTGCGTCACAGTCGGCTACACCATGCGAGACATCCGTTACAAATGGAACGAGGGGCCCAATTCTGTGGGCGTTTCCAGTGAGGTGTCCCTGCCGCAATTCAAGGTGCTCGGCCATCGACAACGAGCTATGGAGATCTCGCTTACAACAGGTACTTGACTGGAGAAAACATCGAACGAGAAGGAATAATGATACCATTACTTAACATGAAACACTGGGCATAACAACCACGAATCTGTTCACGTCCTGCTTTTGTATTATTGCACTAAAAACACAAAATTTGTGTTAGCAACACAAAATCATAATAAGCCAATAAAAACTTAATAACTCTAAAGGAAGAAAGTTTTTTATTTATCGGACTATTAATTATTATTATAAATGTTTATATCTTTAAAATAATCGAGCAAAATCATTTACAGGAAACTACTCAAGATTGGCTTGTGAGATCCAATTTGTGCGTTCAATGGGATACTATTTAATTCAAATTTACATTCCATCTGGTCTAATTGTTATCATATCATGGGTATCATTTTGGTTAAATCGTAACGCGACACCTGCTCGCGTGGCGCTAGGTGTGACTACGGTATTGACAATGACCACGCTCATGTCCTCAACAAACGCTGCTCTGCCAAAGATCTCATACGTCAAATCCATAGACGTGTACCTGGGCACTTGCTTCGTAATGGTCTTCGCCAGTCTGTTAGGTAATGAATTACATATTAATAATTAAAACTATAAGCGATTGCTAAGCGATATTTTTTAATGCAAAAGCGATTCCCATTCCCTGTATTTTCATTTAGTGGTACAGATTGAGGGATGAAGAACCGTTTGTATCGTTACAGAATATGCTACGGTTGGATATATGGCAAAGAGGATACAAATGAGAAAACAGAGGTTTATGACGATTCAAAAGATTGCATCGGAGAAGAAAATGCCAGTCGACTGTCCACCAGTTGAGACCCACACGCTTTCGAAAATGAATACTATTGGAAGATGTAACTCCGGTCGACCATCAGTAAGTTATACTCAGTACTAAGAACTGGTAATAGTTAATAAATAAATCAATAACATTATACTTTAACTAGTCTTTTACACACATCATTATTCGACTTCCTTACGTTTCTCTTAACAACCACAATACTTCACTCTTTGATACTATTGCGAACTTCATTCTAGACAATTTTTAAATTATTAATTGTAATTTGCTTATTTTAGGAAGTCCGATTCAAAGTGCATGATCCCAAAGTACATTCGAAGGGTGGAATATTGGAGAACACCATAAATGGCGGAAGAAATACAGAAGAAGAAAATCCGCCGGTCCCTCAGCTATTACCACCTTGCAAGGTAAAAGCAGTAATTGTATTTTTTCTTTAACATTAGCGGCCTTGCGTCTGTATTGCGAATTATAGATGTTATTTAAATAATGGCTCTTGTTGATTTTCAATGTCATGTTGTCTTTGCGAATGTCACTCTTATGGTCCCTTCTGATGTCTTAGATGTTGGTTCTACATTTTCAGGACATCAGCAAGTTACTTGGAATGACTCCGTCGGACATCGACAAATATTCGCGTATCGTTTTCCCTGTATGCTTTGTCTGCTTCAATCTAATGTACTGGATAATATACCTGCACGTTTCCGATGTCGTAGCTGACGATCTGGTACTTCTGGAAGAGGATAAATAGAGGGGTCTAAGCTATCACCACTTATTTTTCCACTCGCACACATTAAATAATAATTTGAAATGCGATATCATTTCTATGATAAAAAAATTCACGACGTTAACGCTCGCTTAGATGCTAGAATATCGCTTTAGATTAATTGTATATAAAACGATCTCCAATCTACATGACATTAACGAATTGTATTAAATAGTGGATAGGATTTTGTAAGTATTCCTTCGGGAGCTAGGAATGAATGAATCCGTTCAAATACGATTGAAAAGGTTGTAACGTTGAAAGAGCCTTTTATTAACTTTCAAATTATTATTTCGTGGCAAAATGAGTGGAATGTGAATTACGATTTAGTAATTGATTCTAATGCTCAAATTAGCTTAACTGTTAGTTTTTCTTATGTAATACATTTGTTTTTCAACCATGTGATAAGTAAGTTTTAATTGTAGTGTCATATATCATAAAATAATTATTTATAGTCTCTCATGGCTTTATTGTATATTTCTAGTTTGTTTTAAGTACCAGCTTTAAATTGCATGAATTTTTAGTTATAAGTTGGATAATGTAGTAATAATTCTGTATCATTTATAACTTTTAGAGTGAAAACTTGATTTGCAGTAATGTTCTTTTATTGACATTTCATAAATGTGATCGAAACTGCATGACTGTTGGCATGATACATGTATGACTTGAAATGGAATTAAATTAACCAAATTTACACATCATTAATCAATGTTTAGGTATGACAGGATTTTAAATAAAAGCGTTGGTTCCACAAAGATTTATATATTAAATTACTAACAAGCAATTTAAGAACTTAAGTTACAATTACATGTAACTAATGAAATCGCATCTCAATTAATCGGTCTTATTGTTTATCGATGCAGGACGTATAAATAATGTGTTATTCATTAATGCTAGACAAGAAAAGGCGATGTAATGCTAATAATACATTGCTAATAAACCATTAAATCATAATATAAACTTACGAACATCATTCAATTAAAAAGTAAAAGTCTAAGTTATACTACAGTAACAAATCTATTGTTTAAATATAGTTACTAAAATGTGTGCTGAAGACTCAGTTAAAACTAAATCTATCAGTGAATGAAATAAGCTTGTTTATCGTGTCTATTTATTTAATGGGATAAGATTTTAGAAGTTAACATTTTTAATGTTCTGATTTACTCAACAATTTATTATCAATAGTATGAGCTTTACAAAACTTTCAACACTAACAGTTTAAATATAACAAGGGCCAGTTGGTGTGCTATTTACGCTGAAAATCAAAGTCATTACAATCACTTTAAGTATATCAATGCGATAATCGACACATTGGCAATCAAATCAGCCGTAATTCAAATATTTGGTGAAACTAAACCCCATCTCATTTTTTGTACGTTTAATATTATGAATGTTTAATAAAAGCCATACACAAAGCATTGAAATATCACATGAAGTTCTTACCATAACGAGCTAGCATTGTAGTTACATTTGAAAAGAGTTGTGACGTCTGCAGCGACGCTGTTTGCATTCATATGAATTAAATATAACCGTTGACAAAGACATTGAACATAATGTTCAGACAACAAAAAAGAATATTTAAAAATGTACCTAGATTTTTCAAAGTAAAAATAGCCTTGCTGCAATTTCTAACGTAGCCATATGTGTATAATTTGTTTTCGTCGCACTGTAGAAAGAACGCTTTGGATACTGCAATCTATATGCAGTTGAGCATTAGATATGTTGATAGTGTGGGAGTCTAGTCTTCCTCGCTAGAGGCTCCCTTACCATCAGCTCTTTACCTTCGATTATCTGAAACGCAGAATCCCTATCATCAGTTACGTCACAAGCGGAGATCGAAATAGACCGATGCGTTTCTAAGCTGGGTGTGAATGTAAAACAAAAGACGGAATAACGACGTTTCGTTCGATTGTGATAAAGCATGTGATGGAATACCTCACATCAATCACAATCAAACGAAATGCGCTATCGTGCAGTCATTCGTTTTCCTTTCTCCCCGTTCGGCTGTTAATGTAGAGTTTAAAAATGTCACTGCCCAACGCAAACACCAAGATTAAAAAAAACGGAAAAGAAATATTATATGTTATATAATTATAATGTGTTCTTGTACGTAATAATAATAGATGCCTTTAGCTGTCGGAACGTTGATAATATACAAATATGCAATAACAATTTTACAATATTTAAATACTGTCGTCGCTAGATTTTCGTTTACAGATAAGAAATAAAGTGCAATAAATGAACACCAAATAGGCTAGGTTGAATTATATTTACAATGTGCGGAATAGCATTTAAGTTTTAGCCATAATTTTCTGTTCTATTATCGATAGTATGTGTAGAAACTTTATATTTGACAAAGGATAGATTTTTGTTAGAGATTATTAAATTGGATAAGATAATCATGTTACTACAATATAATCAACACATTATTATAAGGCACAAAACAATTTTATTTGCATTGTTAAGACAATATTAATACAGTAAAGATTAAAGTGTATCTTAAATATAGTGCAAATTACTCAAAATTACACAAAAATGTTTTAGTGATACACAGTACATATAACTTTAGATGGGATTTTCCAATGTCCCTATCACGGTTTGAAGTTCAAACAAAATCGCTGTCTTCTAAGCGTCAAAGAGTTGCTAGATTTGTTTTAGTTTTATTTATTTTATAGGTATAGCAATGTAAATATTCGATAAAAGTAAAAATGAAATCATATGAAGTTTGATAAAGTGTTAAAATAGACAAAGATTAGTATAGTGACTGACTATTTATATCAGCCTGTTACAGTTTATCAACAAGCCTTGGTAATGTCTATATATAAGGCGTAAAACATTGAAATAAGTAGAAATTGACTAGTTTATTCTAAATAGTTTTAGACACCGTAAGCTGAAAAATAGGGATAAAAACAACATGAATGTATGTCTTATAAAATGCATGTATTAACTTATCTAGGAGCATTTCTGCACAAACAGGAGATGCTATATTATTTAGACAATTATAATGTTAAAAGCATATATAAGCTATATAGTTTAGGTTGGATTGGTTCAAATAGAAAGTTAAATGTTACATCGGTTGTTTGGTTGTTTTAAATCGTCAACATCACAAATATATTAATACTAGCTGACCGGGCAAACGTCGTTTTGCCATGTATATCATTTATAATAAAAAAATTGGGGTTGATCGTAGAGGGGTGAAAGTTAGGGGTTGTATGTATTTTTTAATGCTGTATCATAAAAAATAAAACAGAAAAAAATATCCAAAAATAAAAAAAAAATATTTAGGGGTGGACTACCCTTTACATTTAGGGGGATGAAAAATAGATTTTGTCCGATTCTCAGACATACCCAATATGCACACAAAATTTCATGAGAATCTGTCAAGCCGTTTCGGAGGAGTTTAACTACAAACACCGCGACACGAGAATTTTATATATTAGATAATTTGACACATTACATATTCATGCGCGTTACAATTTGAGTTAAACGATGATTAAGATCAGTTTTATGAAATTAACCAAGTCTTAAAATCACCGTGAAAACAAAGGTAAGCAATGTTGACGCGTCAATGACGGAAAATTGACATGAATACGCAATCAATTTTGAACAAAATAAAATGTTAATAATGATGGTGGATACTTTGACTGAAACTCAACCAACCGAACCAAAATTGTACACTTGTTGTTGCTACTTCGCAATACAAGTATTTCAAAGTAAAACATTTATAAAACTTCATAGGATAATGTATATAAATAAAATAAATTTTGATATTGTTTGGATATGTAAGAATTACACCTTATATTGTATCGGCACCTCTATCGCTTTTAGTTACAGTATAGGTTAGCATAGGCCTATTTAGAATTATTATAGTTAATGCGTCTCTCTGAAACGAAATTCTAAAATATGTGTAGTAATTAGTCATAAGGATCGAAATTTACACTTAGATAAGCTCACGACAAACTCACGCACAAAACGAAATTCTATGTCATGCGGCACCCAATTTAATCTATTATTTTTTAATATAGCGTCAAGGGTGCCTTCATTATATAGAGAACGGTAGAACAGTTTTATACTTTAAATTCCAAGACGGGATATTAGATTTAGCTTGTCACGGTCTTAGAAAATTATTACATTCTAGTTAGCCCTGTGTTGTCACCGAAGCAGAGGCATTCGAAATTTAAAATCCGTTCTAATCTTAAACACAAAAAGAACTTAATACTTATGGCAAGCTTTCGTAATATTAAATTATATATTATACTAAAATGTATTTTTTTCTGGGGTCGTGATAAATAGCGCCGTACACTAAATATTATAGACTGATGTATAAAGATCAAAGTCATAGATTTAATTAAGAATCTGTCGAAATCCAGTAAATTTATTTATTATGATTTTGGGCAATGTAAACATTTAATTAAGAATAAATCTAGTCAAAACCAATAGTTAGATACAATATTACAAAAAATCATACATAATTTTACAATTATTTGACAATATGTTTTAAGGGAATTAGTGAATTATTATTATTTATAAAAAAAAAAAAAAATATTAGGGCATACGATACGGGCGGTAGGCTCGAGTAGATAAAAACTGGTAAAAAATTAATAAAAATGCCCAAAGCATATTTGAAAAACTTATCAAGACCACGTTATGTGTCTTCTTTAAAATCTTGTTTTTTTTGAGTACATCAGACTCGTAATACGCTTGAACTGGGAAAAGTTGATTTGTATTTTTCTTTAAAATGCAACTCCTAAATTTCTTAGAGAAAGGTTTCTAAATTTAAAAAAAAATGTGAGGAAAGCTTTATCACTCTTCTGGTATCAGGCTCTTAAATATTGTGTTATTGTTTCTTTTATAACACTGTTCCATTTTTGTTAATACAAAAAATAATATATTAAAATGATTTTTAAATCCTTAGTTTCACGTTTTGTCAATAGTTAGGCTGATGAAAGGTGAACCCGCCAATAAAGTCCTCTTACTCATAGAAACTCCACTAACTTAAATTATGCGCATTCGTCACTTTCTGTCAAACTGTATAATAGAGAAGTGTCCATAGATCGGTGTACGATTTGCTTGTGGTCTTTGTGGATAATATTTAGACGGCTAACTTACGAATGTCAAATCTCTTTAAAAAAAAAATCCGTGAAACTATTGAAGAACACTTCTCTAATTATAAATTGTATTTATTTTTATATAACTTGTATGTTTCATGTGTTTTCTTATTGTAATATAATAAATAAAATAATAATATAGCGTTATTACTGTAATATGTTATAAATTCCTGTCTTCCGTTTATGAATAATGGTATAATTTAGGGTTAAAGGTGGGTTTATCTCACAGTCGCCATCATTAGTTATTCTTAGGAACTAAACCAGTGTCTTTTACAGGTTTATCTGTCTTCACAGTACCTATATGAAAACTATTTTTGTTACTTGTATGTATTTTTAAATATTATAATTTTATATTATATTGACAGTTTTTGGCCAGAATATTCCAAATTGATGTTGAATAAGTTTAAAAATGCCTCTTTAATTGTGCTGAAATGGTTTTTATTGTTTGGAACGAGATTATACAAATAAGACCTGATCAAAGACAAATAACGAACACATTTAGTTATTTATCGTGTTTGCGTCGTGTTAAAAACACTTATATAATATATATATATATATATTATATACATTATATTAATCTAAATATATAGTAGCTTCTATATATTTAGTAGTAGTAGTAGTAGTTGCCCTGAAATTTTTTGTATCTCACATAATAAGCATTCGAATATCCTGGCCATAAAATATTCCAATTATCAATGTCCTTATGAAAATGTAAAATGTATATCATTAGTTATTAATGGTCCTGTTTCTCTAAATTCTATTAGTTATATACATACATATAATCACTATTAAACCCTAGAAGCCTTTAAAACCGATACACATTATATAGAATATTTCATGTAAGCTGAAATAATTAGTTGACTATACTTATAAAAATTATAATTTTAATCAATATTGTTAATTATTAATAATACGAAATACTTACCGTCGTTATGTATCCTAATACCACTGGTAAATTATCAACATAATTGTGATTTTCTGTAGTCAGGAGTTATCTTAACCATGCACCAATGTGTGGCGAGACATTAAGCTTTATTTTGAGCTTTTTGATCTAAATAAATATTAAAGCGCCTTAACCGCGTGAAAAGGAAACGTATTTAGAATTTCAACAGAATTCCAAGTAAGAAGTTTTGAACTAAAAATCGCGGCAAATGCGCTGATCGTGAATCACCCTACAGCAAAAGTAAACTTCCGGTTATTCTTATTCTTAAATGTGGGTGTTATGGATATAGGATCTCGGAAGGTATCTTCAAAATTAATATTTGGTAACTTAATTTTGAGATGTCAGAACTGATTTTACTTGAATTCACATTCAAACTATTTTTTGTGGTTGAAGTAATTTTTCTCCTGAAAATTATGTACTCAGTCGTATATTTTGAAATGTGCGTGGGTTAATTATACCATGTACATATTATTAAGTATAATTCTATGTTTTTGAGCCCTTTTATATAGTTTAAAAATACTCAAAGCAATCAATGTTCCACTAATAAATTGTAGTACACTTATATTAAATCTTATAAAGCTGATGTTTTGTGTATTTTTTCATTCCTTACTTATATTTAATAATAATATAACAAAACTTTATTCATGACATAAGGGTGTTGATAAAATTTATTTATCGCTAGTGCCTACACTTGGGAGTACCTGTGCTGTGGGTTACTAGACAACAATTATTCCGTCGTACATGGTACAAGTTTAAAACAGTTTTTTAAAGTAATTTTATAAAACATTAAGTATGCGTGAGTGTGAATGGGTGTATATGTGCATTTATTTGAGAGTGTAGCTGAGAGTTATGATCGTGCGCTGTGGCTGTGTGACTTTTTGGAACCTCAAAGTCATGCCAAGATACGTTGTAAGAGCTTTGTAGATTCGAAATCCAATTCAGCTAGCGCAATTTGTATGTGATTGGCAGGATTGTATCTGGATAGTTTGACTATCTACGAATCCATAGTTTTTATAATAAAGGAAGGGGCCCCTAAATGCACAGTAGCGTTGGCCTAACAAAGTCTTTCTTTTTGGCGTTGGGAATACAAAACTGCCTGTTCTTAGATGTGTCCGGATTTGTTTGTCCATGGAGTTTGCTTATTTATGTTGATACTTCATTTATATTAAACTTAATCTGTATGATTGCGGGCAGTTAAATGTGTTGGTAAATAAATTAAAAATCAATTATGCTTTTAAAATGTAATATTTTCAACACATTAAAATATCGTTTTAAAAACCTTAATATCTAATAAATACTTATATTTTTTCTATTTAATTAGCTTTATATAAATATAATCTCAATATCTGGGTACAAAGTAGAAGTGATAACTCTTTTTAGCTCTTATAAAAGCCTTAATGGCTTATTACTGGTCCAGTCAGACTTCCTTAAACACTCTGGACGGGAAATCTTCGGCAGGAAACATCTAAAAAATTAAATGTTTTAATTGTCAAGGCTTGTAATAAACTTATAAATAAAACTTGATTGTTTCTACAGTTGTGGTAAGCAAATTAAAATAATCTTTTCCTAATTTTTGATTCTATCCGCAGTAGATATTTTTAATTTTAATTAAATATTAAATTGTTTCTAAATAAAATTAAACCTTATCTCCATTCCAGTGGCACTGTTGATATCCTATTACAGATAGATGGCATTAGTTTCTAGTGTAAGCTAAAAAGTTCTATATCTCTCTCTATATTTTTCTCGTATAGACGAGGGCTGTTCAATGAATAGTGATAGTGCGATACACTTGGAAAGAAAAATACATTAGAAATAATATAGAAAATCAATTCTCATTTGTTTCTTTTTAAACAGAAATCATGTGTTTGTCGGGACGGGTTCTTAAAAATGTATAAATGTTCGCGGGATAACTAAATATTTCTGCTTGAAAATTTTTACTACGAAGCTGGTAAATCACTATTTCTGAGCAAAATTAAGGGTTCATTCGACTTCTGGTCCTTTAAGAAAAGACCGTACCAAATTTCAAAAGGCCGGCAATGCACTTCTCTTCGAGCCCTCTGGCAATGTGTCTATGAGTGGTATCACTTATCACCAGGTGAGCCTCCTGCCCATTTGCCCTCTGTTATATAATAAAAATTGCGCGTTGGTATGCTTAGTTCAAGATGAACTTCCGTTAACGACGACCCGCATGGGAAGCCCCATGCGATAGTGACTGAACAAATGATTAATTAAAATTGCAGGGAAATGTGCAAAAAAGTGTCAGTGCGTGGGTGCTTCCTGACGCGAACTAACTTACGAGACTGAGAATTTCATAAAGCTTTGGGTTTGTTAACAAGATCTTGATCGATTCATATCTGTAGACCAAATATGTTGTCACCATTATGACCTGGTAACGAATAAACAGTTCATAACTTAGAAGTGACCGTCATCTCTGATCATTGGATTTTTTCTAGGACAGCTAAGGGGTAGTAATGATCGAGTACATTAATTATAGAGTTAAAGTTGTTGCATGAAGAAGTACTAGTTCAATAAATCACTTTTTTATTGAACACCCCTACTGTTTGTACCCCGTCTTGTATTATTTTTAATCCCATAGATAATGGATACTGAAATTGAATGAATTGAGGATACTGAATGATGTTAAAACCTTGTTCCGCTAGTTAAAGTTAAAATTATAGATAATATTTATTCAGAGCCTCCTGCCCGTTTGCCCCCTGTTCTATAGAAAAAATCCCAAATGGGTTTTGGCCTTGGTCTCAAATTGCGCCCGTTTCATTACTTAGTTTTAATTCATAGACAAGTCCATTTGAACACGGCCGGGTATCAAACCGACGAGAGAGTTGCACGCTTAAGCCACTATGCCAATAGTGCTGTAAAAATTATAGGTAGTGAAAATGCATTTTTTAAAATGCCATTCCGATTCTGTTAAATCAACATTCTAAAAGACCTTAGAAATACCCTTTGAATAGCTTACATTTATACGCCAATATGTTCAGGTATTTTTCCGTCTTCGTGAAGTCGCCACATTTTCTCGTAAAGTGCTTCCAATCCTTTTGTATAGTGCTTGCAATCGAAGAGTGTGCTTTCCACGCGGGCTTTGTACACTTTAGCTCGTATATATTTCCGACTGAAAAGCAGATACGGGTATTGAATATGCAAATAACCACTCAAAGTATTGTATTAAAAATTATAAACTTTTCGAAACGTTCAAAATGTCAAACTAATTGAAATTCCAAATCACTTGGACAGCAGAAAGTAACAAAGTGTCCAATAAAGATGAATTAAGAATTTTTCTCCATAGTTATTGTTTGTTCTCTTCAAGACTTCTTTCAGTTACTATCAAATGTGCAAAGATATTTTACATTTTTAATGAAAGAACTGCTCTGCTCTATACCCACTCTGTGCAAGGCGATCACTGCAACCCTATTACTTTAACACCCCATTCCATATTGTAATTTGATAATGAACACAAAACAATTTGTTAAATGGCGCAAAATCGAAAGAAGTTTTTAAAATAATATACGTGTTCTTAATTCAAAATAATTAAAAAGTTGAAATAAAAAGAATTTTCATTCGTAACAGAACTTATGGCCAGACTAGTTATATAAAATAAATACAAATACAATCACTCTAATCAAAAATCGGTCAAACTCAGCTCAACAACCCTGATATTCAGTGGGCCAATACTACTCGTATCTTGAGTGACAGCTATATAAACTTAGTTACCGATTATTATCAAATTTTATATGCATATTCAGTAGATCTGAGAATCGGCTACTATCTATTTTTCATACCCCGAAGTGATAAGAGTTGTCCACCCCTAAATTTTAATTTTTTAGATATTTTTTTTTATGATACAGAATACAAAAATACATACAACCCTTTTTCACCCCTCTACGATCAACCCCTATTTTTTATTTGTTAATTAAAATCTTATGACTTATGAGGTTTATATAGAGAAATTACAGAAGAAATCACAAAGAATTCACAGATAACCCTAAAAAGTTTTCTTTCCAGAAAACCGAACAAATGTTCCATATATTGGTATGTAGCTACTCAAAAGAGGGCTAAGTCAAAAAAAACATATTATACGAAACGAAGCTAGTATAATATAAAATTTGGGACATTATTATTATTATTTATTTATTTCCTTATCCTACAACTAAAATAAATTAGATAGATTAATAAAAAACAATTATACTAAAGATATATCCAAAGATGCAATTCATAATATTTATGAAAAGTTTCAAACATTTAGAAAGGGAAAAATACTTAAAAGTTATTCAATATATTTAACTAAGTAATACCTGATTCGGCTTATATTGTGTGAACATATAAAAGTGAGGGTGTGTATGTGGGGTGTGCTCATGATGCAGGTGTTTTAGCGCTATGAATATTCTTAATACTTATTTTAAGCAAATTCCGCGATAGCTTAAACAAGTCAAGGCATTGAATTTTATTTCGAAAGTCATTGAATGTCGCGCATTGGAGGTGGCAGGTTGTTCCAGCATTGAGTTGCATTGTATCTGTCACCGTAGAATTGTAAACACTGTTAGATTGTAATCTATCTCGCGAGATTGTAAACTGCCGAAAGATTGTGAACCATTCAACTAATCAAATAATCAATTTACATTCGACAACAAACGAAATAACAAACAAATATGGTGGCGCGGGGCATATTCCGTTCAACCAATCAGCGCGCGAGGTGCGATCCGTTTCACAATTTGACGGTTTCACTTCGATAGATTACAATCTACCGAATAATAATACATTCAATTGTAAGCAGTACGTTGAGTTCACAATCTTTCGACGGTTCACAATCTCGCGAGATAGATTACAATCTAACGGTGTTTACAATTTTACGGTGACATATCCATAACTACCACGGAAAAACGCTGTTCTATATTTAAGCAAATTGTTTACCCCTGTATGATACGCTTGACTTGTGGCAGTTTATTATTTTATACCGATTTTTTTTGCAATCAAATCCTGGCACTTGCGGTTTTTTTTTGTTCACTGTTACTTTTAATTTTTGAATTATAGGTAATACTTCTCGGTTGGAAGACATCGAATATTAATAACCTTATATACGACTAAAAAGTTGACACTAAAGTGAACCTACCCCAAGCCAGCCTTGTAGCATTATAGTGCTAAAAATATTTTTATAATAGTTAATTAACACTTTATACTTTAACGTAAGTTTCAAATATGTATGTCACTCGTTAGTCCAATTATATTAAATACTTACTAGTTGACATCTGTTCCCAATTTTATAGCCATTTGTTCATAATGATTTATATCGCGAGCTATAAGTTCCGGGCAATTAAGTGCAGCAAGCTGTGATGCAGCTACTCTGTAACCCATAAAGGAGAAGATTACTGTTTTAGCTCCACAACAGTTTTCTATGACATAAAACATAAAAATAATTTATTTTGTAAAAATTATAAATTTTTATATATACACGTATGTGAGCGGTGATGGTCAAGTGACTTATATTATGTGCGCTGCAGCATGGTGCGGGTGACAGTTGCTTAATTTTTCTTTCAATTTGATTTTATTTGTAGACTATCTGGCTGGGTTAAATATAAGCTACTACAGTTATTAACGATTTAATATATTTCGAATGTGGTACAGCTAAAATACTGAATCATAATTTGTAAATTCCGGCAATTTTCAAGAGTAAAACGAAACATTACTGAAACTTTCATCCGCACCATGTTACAGCGCACATACTATAGGCGACTCTCAATTCAAGATAGACTATTCGAATCACGGTTGTGCACTAATGGACCTTTCTTTCTATGTCTACATTTACTGCCTCATGTATGGTTAAGGATTATATTGTGAGGAAACCTTGGCCCCAATAAACGGCATCTACCGCTCCAGAAACGTTACCGGCCTTTGAGGTACGTGGATTGTCACTATTTATAGAAAATGATTTAATACAACACTCATACATAGTCAATTGATTTTTAGGTACCTCTTAGTTCAGTTGTATAAAAATTAGACGTAATTTATTCATATCATCAAGAAATAAACATGGAATAAGCTAATTACCTTGAAGCTAAAGTTTCACCCGGGTGGGTGAGAACAGGCGTCCCAGCCCATAGCATATCCATAGTGGTTGTATGACCATTACATAATGGAGTGTCTAAACAGACGTCTGCCAATTGCCCTCGCCGTACATGTTCTTCCTTGGATGCTATTCTTGAAAAAACTATTCGTTTTGGATCTAAACCTAAAATGGAAGTGTTGTATAGCGGCATAATTAAGCTTAGTACTGATAAACATAAACGTCCCGACAGATTCCTATGAGAATTAATAAAAACGGTAAAACATTAAATATTTACCTAATTTTTGGGCAAACTTGTGAATATTAGGTTCTCCTGCCACTGGAAAACTCACCAGCCAGAGCAGACTATTAGGCACGCTTTGTAAAATCTTGATCCAAGTTTTTAAAGTTCTAGGATCGGTTTTATATAATTGATTAAAATTGCAATACACTATTGCATCATCTGGCAAACCATATTGAGATCTTGTAGTTATAACAACTTTATCACAAATTTTTTCTCCACTTGCTATTTTAGAATCATATGTCAACACTGATAATCCATTTAATATAGATATATTATCGGTATTCATCTGAAAAGTAGATTAAAAATAAATTAACGCATCTGCTGTGTTTCCAAATGTATTTAAAAATCGAACGGTTTTACCTGTATTTGGTTAGAGTCTGACGCAAATTCAAGGACACACTTAGGAATGTTAATAATTGTTTCTAATACTTCTATTGGTTCATAATTGTCAAAAACTAGTACTGTTTTTGTTTTATCAATACAACACTCATCCAATTCTTCTATATAATTAATTATTGCTACATTTTCATTTAATACACTATCATTATTGGTCCTCAGTTTAAATCGATTCTTTAGATGTGGAAACATTCGCATATGATCGCCGACAAAGTATGTATATGGCATATAAGCAAATTTTTCAGTAAAATCGTTTTCTGCTTTCATTGGACATGAGACATTGTCACATATAATATAGTCCATATATGTGGCCCCGCTTGTACCTGGGTAGCCCAGCCACATTATCTGAATTGGCGCCGATTTCAAAGCGAAAATTTCATTTCTTGAGCCTTTTGTATATCCATTCATATTCACTAATATATGAATACCATCGTTTTGTATTATATTTGCCGCCTCATCGTTAGACGTTATATTGGATATATCAATAAAATGTTCTGAGTCATTTTCTATTTTATTACGGAATGTTGAACCATCATTCGGATTTAACGCATAGCAAAAAATCTCTGTCTTTGAAGTATCATGAAGCCCGGGAATAGATTGCATTAAATGTGATGTCGGGTGATTACCGAAGTCGCTACTTACGTAACCGATGCGTAAACGGTTATTGTCTGTTGTAATAAAATTATTTGCCTTGTTAAACCCCCTTACCTTTTCTATATATAATCTTGCATGCCTTGCAGCAATTTCTTTTCTACATTGATTAGTTAACGGATATAATATGGAATGATGTGGGTGTACTGATGTTAATTTATCGCTTTTTAACTGCTCTTCAACAATTTTTATTACTGTCCTCATGCGTTGCTCGTAATCATCCCAATCACAGATTATTTGAAGGCAATGTGTTAAGTTACAATAAGCATCAGGAAAATCTTCTCTAATCACAAGAGCATTTTGATAGGATTTTATAGCTTCAATTATATCACCTATGTCTTTGTAAATACTGGCTAAATTACAATGCGCATCAGCAAATAAAGGATTAATTTCTATGGCTTTTTTAAAACATATGATAGCTCCTTGGGTCTGTTGTAACTCCCTGAACGTGTTTCCCATATTACTGTAGGCATCAGCAAACTGCGGTTGAATAGCAATAGCTTCTTGATAATGCATTAACGCCTCGCCGTGTTTACCTGAAATCGATTAATCAAAGTGCTTACTATGGCTGAGTGCGCCTCTAATTAGTGAACTGTTATCGATTATTGGCGACATACATTTAGTCTTGTCAAACAAACGTAATATAACATTTCGCAAGGCTAATATTTATAGGTTTTAAAATCATATTTTGTAGTCGCACAACCAAAAAATATTACGGTCGCAAGTTAATCTATTATAATAATAAAGTAAAAAGGTCAAACTCGCGGAGCTCGCATGTTTAAACATTTATTACATTAATTATTCCTTTACAAGGTTAAAACCTAAACAATCGTGTTAAACCTATGTTAACTTTAAAAAAGAAAAAATACCTTGTTGCTGTAAAAGCGATGCGAGATTACTATGTGTAACTGCAAAGTCAGGGAAAACTTCCAAAGCCTTTGTGTATAAATTTGTTGCTTCTTCTACTTTTCCCTGTTCTCTCTTTACATTTCCAAGATTATTGAGTGAGTCGACGTGCGTGGGACACAAAATCAATGCCTTCGTGTAGCATTCCTCAGCCTCAATCACCAGACCTTTTTCTTTGAGGGCATTAGCTAAATTACAGTAGGCGTCAGGGAAATTCGGATGAAGCTCAATAGCTTTTCTATATGTTTCTATAGCGAGATCTATGAACCCTTGTTTATAGTATAAACATGCCAGATTCCCGTGTATGATACCATTGTTTGGCGTTAACTTCAAAGATTGAAGATATACTGCTACCGCTCTGGAATTATAAACAAATTTTACATGATATGATGTGTTAGTATTAACAAGTGTCAGGTTAGGTGCGAAGGACGTATTTTATATTTAGAATTAATCTGAATAGATCAATTTTCTTTTACAAATTTTAAATCTATTTGATTTTTTTATCTGTGCGTAGTTACGTCACAAATATTGCATTGCTTTAGTTATTATTAAGATTCATTTATTAAACAGACATGAGTAAGAAATAGATATACTAACTTTAATTAATTATTCCTTAACGCAACATAAGAGTAGGTACTACTTTAAAATACATACAAATTAAACTACTATTATGTTCTGTTTGGCTCATAAAACATCCGAAAATGTGATGCAGAAATAGTCATCATTCAGAGTTAACGGGACTTAAAATGTGCAAATTTATAATCTTTAACATCTAAATATCTCACAGCTTAAAGTAAAAATACTCTGTTAATAAAATCTTAAGTGAGACATTAGGTGTGACAGACATTCTCACTAAGATTGACCAAATGAAATGGAGATGGACGGGTCATATGCTACGGAGCTCTCATGAAAAATGGAGCAAAATTGTGACGGAATGGTACCCTAGAGACGGAAAACGAAGAAGAGGTCGACCACGCAAGAGATGGGAGGACGAACTGAAACTAACAGCAGGCTACAACTGGAGAAGAGTCGCAAAAGATTAGAAAACAGTGGAAAGGGTTAGAGGAGGCCTTTGCCAAGAGGCACACCGAACTCCGAGATATACTGGAGTGAAAATATATTAAAGTTCAGATATATAAAATGACAGAGTTTCGGAATTTAAAGGCTATTACTATTATTATTATTATTATAAAATCTTTAAGATTCAAGTAATAAGAATCAAGTAATAACTGTTGTAATTAAAATATTCACAGTCAGTGGTCACCGTGACCACGCACGCTGTAAAGCACGCGAAACGTCGGATAAATTTAAAATTATGTTAATTTATAATAATACATAACTTCAATCCGGTCAAAATAGTGTTTTATAAAATATTAATTATACTTTTCCTGACATAAATAAAACAATTAAATACAAATAACTTTTATAGCTATTTTTTTAACAATAATCCACCAGTTATTAGTGACATTAATGTCAGGAGAAAATCAAGGTATTATTTAAATATACATTTTTAATACAATTTGAAGTGATCAAACTCTCGAATAATGTTTATGTCGTAAAAAAACATTATACTGTCAACATAGGTGCTGTTGAATATTTGAATAATTTTCTTTCTTGATCAATTTTAGCATTTACGAAAGACGGCTTACTAGCATTAAATATGTATGAAATCGTGTCTATAGTATCGTATGACATTAACAACAGCTTTTATCGAATAATGTATGTCTTAAGTTGAAAAAGGCTTGAATTATTATTCTATATGTTTGTCATATTATAAATTCAATAGACATCGTAACATATTTTTTTATTGAATTAGCTTTAGGTGGACATATATACGTATATTCATAGCATTAAAATATTGATTGGTATTAGTTCCTTTAAAATTTAGTTTTTTAAGAATTTATTAAATACTATTTTTAATCGACAAAATCACTCTTTACTATTCGGAACTTTTTCGATTTAACGTTTTGATTCAATTTAATTAAATAATAAAATAAAAGGTAAAAATACTCTCAACAGTAGGTTACATTGAATGTCTTTCAGTAACTTATGAATAACATAATAAGGACTAGTATTAGGAAATAATGAGATCTCTATAAAAAAATACCTTTTAATCTTGTTTTTAATCCAGTCGACGCAGCCGCCCAACTCGGACGTTTGGGCTGCAAGTTTGGGCGGCGCGATATTGATGACCGTATATACGACGACGCATTGATAATCCATAATTTGGTCATGTCCAGCGGTTACTGAGTAACTGGACGTCTCGTCCCAGCCAGCGTCACAAGCGACGCGCACGCGCCGGTGCCAATTCCTCGCGACGCAAGCCGTGACCTTGACGCACGTATGTTGTGGTAACGTTTATTTTTCATTTCCCATGATATTTTTAATTATTCGAAATAATTAAGCATTGCGATTCAAGGGCACAGGGGACATTAATAGTTCTCTATAATTAATTTTAATGGTAGCAAGGCGTGGTGTTATAATTCATTTAATGTTTATTTACACAAATTATAGTTGTAGTTATATTTAACTGAATATTATTCCAACGTACTCTTACAAAACCCTTATGACCAAATAAACAGATTTAAGAAAATAGGTTTAATTGAGATGGTATAATATGAAAAGACACTGATAGAAATAACACCACAATTATTATAAAATCTAAACGTGTTACTATAATATGTTGTAATGTTAAAATAATACATAAACGAAAATGACAAATAAAATGTAAAATTCAATAGTAGTAAATAAAGAAATAAAATACAAATTTTAATACAGCATTTTAAATTATATCAAATTACTTATAAACTGTATGTTTCCGCAACTAACTTTCGCTTTAAAATTCTATAAAGCCTTTAAACTATTTACAACATTATAATGGCGTATTTCAATCATGTGAACGTGGTAATAAAGTTTAAAACTGTCGTAAAATAGTTACGTGGATATAAAAGCGTAAATGTACCCGAGTATTGTATGTAATGGGAACGGTGCTTCGCGACGAACACTAAATGCTACTGCTGTTGACTCAGAACGATGTTGCCAGCTTCAATGTCACACACATTCCCAATTATTGTCAAAACATTTTCCGCTCAGACAAGGGTTATACGTGCAAATTAGAGTTCAGAAATAACCTATTTTGGGGTCAATGAATTGATAAATATGTGAAATAACAAGTTGTATTATAGAACAAGTTGTATTATAGAACAACATATTATAGAACTAAACATGACTTTCAATTATTTATATACATTAGATACTTACCACAAAGTCTTCCATTTTTATTTTAGGGCAACACTCGTAGCGCACTACAAGCTTTTAGAATTATCCCTACAAGTATACCCTTCACGGCTGTAGTCTTCGGATTTGTATCGTATTTCCAATTTGAACTTAATTGCCACTACGTAGAACCTAATTTGCACAATCAAAAGAAATTATTAAAACTAGACATTTAGCTTTGGAAATCTGATTTGAAACTGCTGAAACTGCAACGTACTTAAGGTTGGCTGAAGTGCTCCTCTCTTCATCAGATTCAAAAGGCATTTAGTCGCTTATTTCCCAATGAATGAGGCATCATTAGACAGTTAAACTTAACTTACATAATCATTGAAAATGTTTTGAATACAATTTGAATTTTGAATTGTACTTTTTAGTTTATCATGGATTTTTCAGATTGTGAAAATAAACCGTCTAATTTGTTCTGGATTTTATCCAAACATCTAAAGCTTTGATCATCGTCTGAAGTAAAATTAAACAGCTAACGTTCCAAATGTTCATTTGTAATAATTAGACTATACTGTAGCTTTTCATAATTTTAATATTTAATTTAATAATTGTTTTGGAGATTCCTTAAATATTTGTCCCATTTTTAAAAGAATCTTAATTATAATGATCCACGATAACGAGCAGGAAAGTACAATTTTAGTATTTCTTTCTATTTAAAATTTTTATTTGTAATTCTTTAATACTAAAAATATCTTTAATTATAATTTTTCATATTTTACAACCAACTAAAAACCATAAATACAATAATTACTTATTCGTACGTCAAAATATATCTTATATATTTATATTTTTATTTTTTATTCCCTGAGTAATGAAACACAGACATTTCTATAAATATACTTTAAACATATTGTAAAACCGTGATTTTTATATACATGAAAGAACGATATTTTATCATAGAACTGCCTAAAATAGACTATCTACGGATAGGGTTATGGATACTATCGAAAAAAAGTGAGGGAAGGCTTGTGTGATGAAATTTAATCTACGATATTTCTCTACAATGATCGAATAGTCTATAGGACAACTTAAGTAAATAAAGTAAAGACTGCTTTCAGGATGAACTGTTTTTTTTGTTTCAGAGACCTTAGCACAAATCCGGCGGGTGTCAAGGTGTACTTGCCTATTAGAAAACTACAAATGATCACGAAAAAGATATTGAAATCTGAAGCCCAGATTAAAAGGTTGTAGTTGTTATTTTTCTGCACGAATTCTATTCAAACAAACGACTGATCGATACTTCGTTACTGTTTCATTACGACAACCGTTTTTCGTGCATCACAATATAATTTTTTACAAGGTGCGTTTAAATTGAGATCATCTTAGCAAGGAAAATATGAAGAAAATCGCTAAACTCATACACTTTATGAGTCCTATAATTTGTATAAATACAAGAAGCCAAAGATGATTAATAATAGAGCAGTGTGTAGCCTTTGTTTATCAGGAATAACTCACTTTAATAAGAAACAAAAGAAGTATACTATCCTTATCCGTAGACAAAGGCAAATAGATCTGTTAACACGCCCGCGCCAAGAGTATCTTAATAGTAGCCTAATATTAACTGTAACATCTTTAATACATTTTCCATGTACGTTCATTACTTCTGACAAGTGACAAAGGTGGAGTACCTGCGATAGCTGACCTACTAACCCACCCCACAAATTAGTTACATCAGTGGAATAATCTCATATAATATTTATAGACGATTCCACTTTAGAAAATATTTTGGTGATATTTGTTGTACTGTGGTTATGTATTATTTAAATGTAAATAAATCTCGTCAGGTATGTGCTTATATTGTTGCTAGACCTTGGAAAAAGTGATGGTACCATCAAAACTGTCTGATCGTAATACGGTTTTGAAGCCGCGTTACTCTGTGCAAATTATTCAATTTTAAAACTAAAACCTAACGGGCTCTCAATCCCACTGTCTATTATACTGTGCCCGGACTAGATCCCCTCTGTTTACTTAAATACTAAGGACAAATAAGTTTTAATGGAACCATTCTCGTGATTATTCTGTGAGTAAGTAGCTATTTTCGACTCCGATTCCCGGATAGTTCAATGAATGAAGAAAAGTTTTGCCTTTGTTTTATATACGGTTTATTGCGTCAAGGAGGATCACACAAAGTTTAATGTTTATAAATGAAACGGTATAGAATCCTGCATGAGACACGCCCATTGATTTGACTGATTTAGATAGTTTTACGTACAAAATCTGTGTTATAATTCAAGCGCAACTTTTGGAAATTTTTCTTCTTCTGGTTATTCCAAAAGGTTGGCTTTTATTACCGGGTGGAATTGCCGGGTATCTTGCGGTAGTCTAAACAGCTCCTCGGCGGATTTGATGCTGGTCCCGTAGGTTCCGCATCCACAACTTATACATTCTACCATCTCTGCCGATGGATTTTTTATGAGCTGCAACAAGTCGATGATGACGCAAAACGTGACCAAGATGTGCGACTTTTCGCATTTTAACAGCCTGCATAAACTATCGTGTCAACCCAATTCGTTGAAGGACTCTTTCATTCGTCATTCTTTGGATCCAGTCGAAGAGAGTATTTTTGAGAATATGTTTCTTATGTACATATAATAGAGCAGTGTTGGCCTAGTGGCTTCAGCGTGCGACTCTCATATCTGAGGTCGTAGGTTCGATCCCCGGCTGTGCACCAATGGACTTTCTTTCTATGTGCGCATTTAACATTTGCTTGAACGGTGAAGGAGAACATCACGAGGAAACCGACATGTCTTAGACCCAAAAAGTCGACGGCGTGTGTCAGGCACTGGAGGCTGATCACCTACTTGCCTATTAGATTTAACTGTAATTATGAAACAGATTCAGAAATCTGAGGCCAAAACCTAGAGGTTGTAGCGCCACTGATTATTTTTTTTCTTAGTATCTCAGGATTTTTTTGTAAAAATTCAACCAATTCTAGATAATTTGAAGACTGGCGTGTGAGCCGTGCCGATTTGCTCAATTCGTGTCATAATGTCATAATGCGAAATAAGAAAGTAGGGTTAATCTTTTAGTTATCAGCCAGTCTTGATGATGGAACGAATCTGGTTCTGAATACCAAAGTCCCTGTTTATACATTATATTTATTAACTGTCTCCACGTTTATAGAAAGCTAATTTTAAAGTTTTGGATTAGTTTGTAAGACATAGTTTCACTAGCGAGTAGTTTCAGTAGTGGCTGAATAATTGTCATTTCCAATTTCAAACTCGTCCAGCTTATTTAAGTCAATGTCAAACGCGCTTTATAAAAAAAATTAATATCTTGAGCACTTTTACTGAGAGTTCTTTTTCACTTTTATCTCAGCCATAGTGGAGAATATATATTCACCTGCTTTTAAATTTGAAACGTAAAAGTAGTTAATGGAATTTAAAAATATCACTTTCACAAATTATATATTTTTAATTAGGTGTTTATCTAGGCCTTAAGTTATTACGAGATTTATCGTGATTGTGCACTTATAATATCAACACAATAATTAGCATTATTATCATAATTCGTTAATGTAATTATATAGATGTTTCCGTTAATTTCCAATTTGTCCGTAATTTTCCATTCTGTCCTGACGTCCGATGATAAAATTTAGTCGAAGGTATTAATCAGAAAATATCTTTGGGACCCTGTCCGTTATGATTAAACGAAACACCTCATTGTTTCGTTTTAGTTTTATAATTTTACCATTCATTTCGGTCCTTACATTAACCTGATGTACTAGTAAGTAAAGATATTATTTAGTAGTTACTGAATGAATATGATACCTGTTTTCCGGAGCAGATTTTGTCTTTCAGTAAGCATAAACAGATATATAAATAAAAGAAAAATGCGTTATATGTTTTGGCATCCTAACATCTAAGGGAAATTAATGTTTTGTTGAAAAGTTTATCTTGCAAGATCCATATAAATTTCATGACTTGCTTAATAAAAGGAAG